GGTTACTTGTGGATTGCGTCTGGCCCACAGGCTGCCAGGTGTGTATCTTAAAAGCTTACTCCTCATACCTGGTGGAAGGTAAGGGTAAAGAAAGTATAAGGTACGGGAGTATGAAGTTAAGTTACTATGTTGTCAAGTGATCCATTTCCCAGTGCACCTCACCCATCGTCGTAGTTCCACATGAAGATGTCATTGTCGATGGTTAGCCAGGCACGACCCAGTTCAGGGAACACTCCCAGCATGCAGTTACACTGCATGTCTATTCCATTAGGCACATTAAGGAGAACATGGACTTTATCAATTACGAAGCTAATTTTACGCTCGTGATGCATGCACGGAATCACGCGATGCATACATGGAATATGTAAAACCCCCCGGGACCTGCAAGGTTTGGCTGAAATAGTGTGTGTGGATGTCGGCAATGTAGCAGATAGATGTCTGGCATACAGCGTGTACAGATTGAGTTTTAGAAACTCATATTTTAATCTTTTGTTCTTAATATTCCAAGCAGCATCCTCAGAAGAGGACATGAGCACTGTGGAGCACTCCCTTGAGTAAAGACACGTCGACTCTAGAAATCTGGAGCAAATAATTACATTGATAGACACTACGCTGACATTTTTTGGCAGAGAAAAATGACTAAATAAATAAATACAAACTGCAAGTTTCCCCCCAAAATAACAGCATAAACTGTTCATCGCACAAAGTTAGGAAATTATGTCCCTCATTATTTTATGCGAGTTATTAAACGCTTAACCCTTCCACACCACCAACCCCCCTCAACGCAACCTAAACCGCGGGACTACACTTTCGCGGCGTAAGGATACGGCCAAACTGTTCCACGAGCTCGGGCGGGAGTGGAACCCTCTTGATGGCGCCAACCTCCGGTGGGTGAAGCATGGCGCCTGGCGCCTGGGACGGGTAGTCCAACTCGTTCATTCCTGACACCGTGGCCATTGCTGTTGCACGCGCAGGAGAGGGCAGGGGGTGATGGGATGGGGGGGACACCGAGGATAGTCACGTGACAGATGTCGCAGAAGTTCTCAGTATCCAGGCAATGGGATTTCTGAGCGCTGTCGCCTTCTTATAAGGAAGGAGTGGTCAAAATTCCTATGCAGGACCCCCCTGAATATAATTAATAATACGAATCTAATTTACTTATCCAAGAAAGTCACATTTATGAGAGAAAACACAAACAAATCAAACCTAATTGGACTTTTCGAGTTGGCTAAAACAAGAACCGTTGTGTAGGTATGTATGATGAACTGTAGATTTGAAGCTTTCGTGACTGCAAGGATTCATATTCTTGGGTTTTTTTGGTAAAGTCACGTAGATAAAAAATGAAAATTACTAAAAGTTAAATAAAATAAAAAATAATTAAATTTTTTTACCTACGTGACTTTACCGAAAAAACCCAAGAATATGATGAACTGCTTTCGCACCGTACGTAGTCAACCGTGCTAATTGGTTGGCAACGTACGCTGCGAGGTGTGTGTGGAGACGTTTGTGCTCTCCGTGTCCCATGTGACCGCACTGGGCCAAACGCACTGTGGTTGGGCACCCCCAGCTGTTCCGAGAGCTCAGGATAGAGGCGCTCCTCCATCAGCTTTCGCTCCACGTGCCGAGCCGCCGCTGCCAGCGCCACCGCCACGGCCGAGCCGCCCGCTGGCACCATCATCGCACCGCCAAAAGCCAACGCCGACGCTGCCATGACAACACCTGCCAACGCAACGACACCGTGGATTATGCTACTCAATCAATTGCAGCCATTTATTCATTCATTCTCAGGCATCCCAATGCCATGATCGGTCTTGGGAAATTGTTTGACCGTACTTTAACACGCTGGTCAGTGTTGATGGGTGGAGGGCAGGATCGGTTCTATTTCTTTGTATTTTTATTTTACCAGCTAAGGCCCACTGAGCTATATAGCTCTTTTCAGAAGCTACCTGACCACAAATTATAGCTCAGGTAGGTGGCTTATCACGTGAACATATCAGCCAAATCCTCTAAACGCACGTTGATTCTAAATGTGGAGGTAAAAACCAGAGCACCAGGCGAAAAATCCACGCGACCACGGGGAAAGAGACACGCAAACTCCAAACATACAGCAGGCGTCGTCAGGGTTGGGATCGAACCCACGACGTCCTCCTGTATACCAGGTGAGGTAGTTAACATCTCACCACTCGCCACTGATGTTCGCCACTGACGGGATTCCAATGTACCACCACTCTACTCAGAGTATGTTACTATCAGTACGAATGAACACACACATCTACTTTCATAATATTATTTATGAAGACGGGAAGCGTAAACATGGGATCAGTGTACAATACGAAACTGACCTCAACTCTTGCGTGGTAAATGCGAATTGTGTTATCACAGGGTCATTAACGTGTAGTTTTAAACAATCGCGTGCACGTTGGGTAACCCAAAGTGTGTTTCTATACGCATTTTCAGCTTTTGCGAACGATAAACATTTATTGGTTCTTTCGGTAAAGTCACGTAAAAGGGAAATAATAAAATAATAAAAAATCAAACATTATAAAATAAAATTATCACGACGTTTCGGCCACAATGCAAGCAACCGTTCTCAGGTGAAGAACAGGTCTGTCGGAAAGACAGCGTCTGAATGAACACAACCAAGCTTGGCAGCGTATATTTAAGCTGGGTTAGAGGAGGAGAGCGCCTTGACTAAGGCGCATTCGGACGCTATCTTTCCGACAGCCTTGTTCTTCACCTGAGGACGGCTGTTTGCGTTGTGGCCGAAACGTCGTGAGAATTTAATTTTATAGCGTTTTAATTATATTATTTTATTATTTCCCTTCTACGTGACTTTACCGAAAGAACCAAGTAGATGAATCCCTGCAGTCACGAAAGCTTTAAATCGAAAGATAAACATTTCTTTCCGGATTAAAATGCGACAAAACACTAGCGGGATGCAATTAACACGAATGACGCTACAGTATGTACAAGGACTTATTAAAAAATAATTGCACTGCATGCGAGAAGGTGCACAACATGAACGTGGATGAGAGGCAGCTGAAGGAGGCTCTGTAGTAGTTCTGCAGTGCCTTCTTCCACGTGACGTTCCGTCAAGGTGGTGCACTGCTCACAGAGAGCTCCAAATTGAGATTTGAAGCTTTCGTGACTGCAAGGATTCATACTTTTCGGTTTTTTCGGTAAAGTCAGGTAGGTAAAAATAAATAATAAAAATAAAAATAAAATTACAAATCACTATTTAAATCACTATTTATAATTTTATTTCTATTATTTATTTTTACCTACGTGACTTTACCGAAAAAACCTAAGAGTATAGAGCTCCAAATTGAGATGTATCGATCTCATCCAGCTGCAAATCCACTGCTGGATGAAGGGCTCCGTGCCGTGGGTTATTTGACACATTATTCACGCTGATCAGTGCGGGTTAGTGAAGATAGTGGGGGGGGGGGGGGGGGTGGCACAAATAGACGTGTAACCACAGAAGTGCAGTACAACAGACCATGAGGTGCAGTACAATGATGACAGAGTATCCTAAACGCGCCCCCCGCACGAGTTGCCCATCCGAGCGCTATCCGACTCTTAACTACTGCTTAGCGCCCCAGATTCCAGCGGGTGGTTTTTGGTCACGGACACACGAACACCGCACAAAAATTACATTTTTGAGGTAAATATGTATCTGAAAAAGAAAACATTGTAAACGTTTGTAAAAACAAAAGTTGTTTTACCGGTGCAGCACTCACGCGATGACACAGGACCCACCAGGCCTATATCCCAACAAGGCCTTTAAAATTATCCAACACTCGTTAATTTCAAAATGTTAAAGCTGTACCTTTATTGCGAGACGCGTGGCCGCGCTTAATTTTCGTGTCGATACTCTCACGTTTTTTTGTTGTTGGTTATTTAACGTACCAAACTTGCGAATAAAAGTTTAAATTAGTTTCTAGTTGATTCAATTTCCCCTCAATGGCGCCATTCGCATTGCCCACAGCACCCGCGCCCCCCTCGCTGCCTCCCATTGGCTGGCCAAGGAAATCGCCCTCGGCCAATCACGGCGGCGCATTTCAACCACGCGGCTTTAGCCCCCACCCACCACCGCCGATCCGCGTGACGTTTTGGCGGGAACCGCGCGAGGGGTTTGCCCCCCCCCCCCGTCGACGGTGGCCGCCGAGTGCGCGTTTGTAAATAAAGTGCGATTTTTTATTATTACTATTATCAATCTTAATTTGAGGATTTCGTGACTGCAGGAGTCAATACTCTTTGGTTATTTCGGTAAAGTCACGTAGGTAGAAATAAAATCACATAAAATGAAACAAACCACGGCGTTTCGATCGCAACACAAGCAATCCTCATCAGGTGGGACAACCACAGCAATAAAAGAATTAACCCGTTAAAACAAAGTTTTTCACTCTAAATCCTTTACAGTATATGCGTAGCGGCTAGAGTCCTCTCGTCCTCTGGCTTGAGATGGCTGCCACCTATGGGTCAGATGATTGCCTGCCACCATTAAGCAATTGGTAATTAAATATAATTTATTTTTTCCTAAAAAGTGTAAAATTTAGGAAAATTGTTTTCACGAAAATCAATTGTCACGCACAACGAGTCTGTGTGCAAAATGTCAGCTCGATTGGATCACGGGAAGTGGGTTAAAAAACGACCGAAAGATTTGCACGGTCGTAAGCGTGCAAGCAAGTGAACTTAATATAAAGGATTTAAAAATGCTCAAGTGGGCGAGAGGCAGTGTGGAAAAATAAGAATAGGGTTTTAATAAAACAGTGACAACCCTTACTAGTTGGCTGTGTCGAATGGTGGCGGGTTCTAACGACACATTTATATATTTACGCGATCTAACCCAAAAAACAACTCTATTATGCTATCGGCTAGTTGACAATTGTGTGGATTATAAATTACATTACGTCACATGGGGGGGAGGGTGACCTAGCCCCCGCCCCCGAGAATCGATTCCCTTCACATAATCGCCGTCGCCCACCGCAGTTGGATCGATCCAAGCGGCGCCTCTGGTCGTCATGGAGGTCGTCTACTCGTGCGATTTCCCACGGAAGCCGCGGGCCGCCTACTGCCCCGCGGTGCCCCTCGCCTGCGCCTGGTCGTGCCGCAACCTCGTGGCCTTCACGTCCGAGCGACGGGGCCCGCACGGCGACATTGGCGGTGAGAGACGGCCCGGCGGGTCGCGGGGTGGTGGGGGTGGGAGGCGGTCAGGCAAAGCCGTAGAGTTCGAGGCTTCTCCCGGCCAAGATGACTAGGCCGCAGCACCTCCTGGTGGGCGCGAGACAGGGTCATTCGGGGGTTCGCTTTGTGGTGGTGGCGGTGTGTAGGGGGGTCTTTGGGGATCTTTCTCATTTAAAGGACCTCTTATTGAGATATCTGTGAGTTCTTACCTCATTCAGGAGTATGTGAGGTCTCGATCATTCAGAGGTTTACGGAGCAAAAGGTCTGTAAGACAAGGGGGGAGCCCAATGGGTATTTTGCATGAGTGGGGGTCTGGGCTGCGTTATTTGAGGGTCCTCGCGGGGGATGTGTTCAGGGTACCGAGGGGCTGGGGTTCTCGGAGATTCGGGAGTCTTGTTCTGCGTGTGTGTTTGTAACAACCTCCCCGAAGCAATCCGGCACACTCGACTCCAAAGGGCAAAGATCCCCCGTGTGTAACGAACTGTTGGGGCAAGTGCTGTTAGTGAGTAGCAGCACCTATGAAGGGCGGCACTGTGGCACACGAGGGGGTGGGAAGCCAGCACCACGCCCGGCCGCATTTGTCTCCCCAGTGGTGATGTTTACACATGATAAGCCACTTCGTTGAGCTATCGTTTGTGATAGCCACGTCGCTTCTAAAACAGAGCTATTGTAGCTCAGGGGGCCTTACCGTTGGTAAAATACCAAAACAATGTTTTATTAGATTTGTGCCGGGAAGGCGACACGCATGTAAGCAGTAAATTACAGTCGATCTTCAATTATCCGGCGGCTTAGGGGGGGAAGGGGTCGCCGGATTTTAAAAAACGCCGAGTAATTAATTCACTACAGTATAATTGAAATAGCTTATTTTTGCACATTCTTGCATAACATTGTTTTAGGATGGTGCGTATGCGGTTTTTTTGGTGTTTTAAATGTGTTTTACTACGTGAATTTGGCATGAATAAACATACAAATAGACAAAATAAATATCCTACTGTCAATTACTGTATTTACGGTACCGTACTTAGCATTCTAATCTCGAAGACTCTGCACGGGGTGAGATGTACGTGCTACGTACTCTTGTTTCAACAACATGATTGTGTCTGACGATCGCCGGACTGGTTACTGCCTTTGGAGCTATTTTGCCGGATCGGCCCGGGATCGCCGGATAATGCTGCAAGCAGCAGGATAATTATCGATGATCGACTGAAAATTACTCCTTGCCACTTGTGTGTCCGCGTCCCAGAGCACACGAGCTACCCCATCCACATCATGGACCCCGAGCACCCGTGGGACGTGTGCACGGTGCGCTCCGGCCACAGCGACGTCATCACCTGCCTGGAGTGGGACCAGTCCGGTGCGTGTGCTACTCCTATTTTTGTGTGCTCTGCTCTTCCTTTTCGTGTGCTCTTCCTTCTCCCCATGTACTACTCTTCGTGTACCCCCCCTCTCCCCGTGTACTCTTCCTTCCCCCCCCCCTGTCCCCCCCCCCTCACCTCTCCCCGTGTACTCCTCTTTGTGTACTCCTCCCCACCCCTCCCTCGCGTGTACTCCTCCTCCGCATGTCTTCCTCTTCGTGTGCTCCGCTTTGTGTGCTATTCCTTCTCCCCTCTTCATGTACCTCTCCCCGTGTACTCTTCCTCCCCCCCCCCCCCCCCCGCGTACGCATCTCCCGTGTTACAGCGGACCGTCCTTTACCCCCTGTATTACGTATTATTCATGAGAACGCGGTGTTCTTCGGGAACGCGACTGCTAACGCGTTGTAGGAGAACACTTACCTGTATTCTGATCCCGAATCTCTTTCGGCTGCGCGTGCCGCCCGCCCGCCGTCGCCGCGCGCAGGAGCGCGGCTGCTGTCCGCGGACGCGGGGGGCCGCGTGCGCTGCTGGGCCACGCCCGAGCACCTGCTCAACGGCTGGGAGGCGGTGGGCGAGGGCGGCCCCGACGGCGAGCCCCTGCTGGCGCTCGCGTGGCTCCACAACGGCATCAAGCTCGACCTGCATGTGGAGAAGGCAAGAGGCCGAGGGGGGACAGCAGGGGGGGGGGGGACGCACACTGCCACACCGATACCCACAATACCCAAACAACAGCCGCCACTAAGTGACGGTGACTTCACCGCGCCGCACCTGTGCCCAGGCCAAGGTGCACTTGGAGGGCGTCGCGGGAAGTGTTGAAGGGCTCGTTGCTGACAGGAGGTCACGGGACGACCCTGCAGGTGCCATGGGTTGACTGACTGAGATGACTTGGCAGATGCACCGGCTGTGCCCCCTACTGTGCCAAATTGCTGCATTTTAGCCGCCCGGCGCTCCGCTCATTGTTGTGAGCGTTGCTCCTCTCTGCCCTCCGTTGTTGTTGTTGGAGGGTGACTGCCTCCAACTGACCAGCAGTGTCCTTCACGAGCCTCCTCCACGATCGCACACAAAGAAAAATATCCCCCCTATAGCCTGTAACACACTGTTGGGGCAAGTGCTGTTAGCGAGCACCTATCAAGGCCGGCACGGCACACGAGGGGGTGGGTGGCCAGCACCAGGCCCGGCCACCTTTCTTTCCCCAGTGGCGATGTTTACACACCGCACCAGTTACTCATTTGAGGCTGAGTCGACCTAGGGAAGGCCCAGGACCGTTTCAGTTAATCGTCACTGGTGTTGGCCGTGAGTGGGAATAATCGGGTCGCCGGATTTGTGACGCAGCACACTAACTGCTGCACCACCGCTCCCCACACACACAACAACAAAAACAATGATCCTCCCCGCGTAACCTTCACGGACCGTTGGCACAAGCGCTGTAAGCGAGCACCTATTATAGCCACCTATACGTACCGCATGTTGAACGTTCGCACAGTACGCAGCCAACCGTGCGAATCGGAGGTGCAGGGGGAAGGACAACAAACTCAACACTAAAAGCAGTTCCACAGAAAAGAGTTTTCAATTGAGATTTTAAAAGTGCACAGCTCCGTGCGCCACCACCATTCTGCCTCAAAACTGGCCCCTTTGTCTTCCCCTGTGCCACCCCCCCCACCCCTGCTGCGCCCGCCGCCGTGCAGGTGGGCGCCATGAGCTTCGGCGAGAAGTTCTCGCGCGCGCGCTTCCACCCGTCGCTGGCGGCGTTTGGCGGGCGCGCGGGCGACGGCTGGGTGGGGGTGTCGGCGAGCGGCCTGGCGCGCGTGTGGCTCCTGAGGCCCGGCGGGGCGCTGCTGAGCGCCGTGCGGCCCCTGTCGCGGCCGCGGGCCCGCGTCGCCGCCGCCGACGCGGCCTTCACGCCCGCGGGCCACGTCGTGGTGGCCACGTCGGACGGCAGCAGCTCCTCGCCCATCCACTTCTACCGGTGCGGCGCGATCGCTCGCCTGTCTGCTCGCCTGTCTGCTCGCCTGTCTGCTCGCCTGTCTGCTCGCCTGTCTGCTCGCCTGTCTGCTCGCCTGTCTGCTCGCCTGTATTCTCGCCTGTATTTTCGCCTGTATTCTCACCTTTCTTCTCGCCTGTCTGTTCGGCTGTCAGCTCACCTATCTGCTCACATGCTCGTACGCAAGCCTTTGTGTCAACTTGTCTATCCCCCACACACTTGTGCAATCACCTCTCAGCTTGCATCTCCGCTCACCTGTCTGTCGGCTCATCCGTGTGCTTCACCTGTTGGATCATAAGTCGTCCCCTTACTGGTTTATTCCGTGTATCCCCATGTGATTGTGTGTCTCCGTGTACCCTCGCTTATCCCCATGTTGTCTTCATATATCCCCATGTGTCTTCCTGTGTCTTTGTATCGCCCGTGTGTTCCTGCACATCCCTGTGTGACCCTGTGTGACCCTGTGTGACCCTGTGTGACCCTGTGTGACCCTGTGTGACCCTGTGTGACCCTGTGTGACCCTCTGTCCCCACATGTGGTCCCTGCGTGTCTCCCTGTGTGACCACGCACGCATCCCTGTGTGTCCCTGTGACCCCTTGTGACCCACGCGCGCGTCGTCCCCCGGCGTGTCAGGCTGACGCTGAGCGTGGTGAGCGAGAAGTGCCGCGTGGAGACGGAGCTTCTGCCGTCGCTCTTCCTCCGCTGCTCCTCCGACCCGTCGCGACGAGACAAGTACACGGCCGTGTCTCACCTGCGCTTCGTCACGCGGGAGAACTCCGAGCAGGTGGGACACGGACCGCCGGGGACACCGCGGGGACCCCTTGAGAGCACTCGCACAACGCGAATTTGCGCACATGCGCACAGGCGATCGCACGCAGTTGGCGCGAGGTGTCCATGTTGCCACCACTGGTAACATGTGATCGTGCGCGGTGGTGGTAACGCGTGACGGCGCGCGTGGTGCCACCTGCGCCGGCAGGTGGTGGTGTGCGTGTCGAGTGCGCAGGGCAGCGTGGTGGAATGCTGGTCTCTGCGCAAGGAGGGGCTGCCCCTCAACAAACTCTTCCAGCAGATCCCCTCCCTCGGTGAGCGCGGGCGGACGGGGGAGGGACACGGTTGTTGGGGGAGCGAGGGGGGGGGGAGTGCAGTACATTACAACGCGGTGAAAATGTACGCGGGTTGCGACCGGTGTCAAGACCCTGGACGGACAGTTTAACACGTCGTGGTAGTAGTAGGCTTTCGCGACGAATATTAGCCATAATAGAGGTTTTGTTGGGTTAAACCGCGTAAATATAAATGTGTCGTTAAACCCGCCACCACCACCACCCAACACGGCCACTTAGTAAGGGCTTGTCACGGAAACAAAACGTGCCAATTACAAAACAACACCCGGTGTATGAGACAGTAAACCCACAACATTTACAAGTCGAGTAATTAAAACTAATTGGCACGTTTTTTAAACGTGACAAACCTTACTAAGTGACTATGTTGGTGGTGGTGGCGGGTTTTAACGGCACACATATCTCCGCGATCTGTCACCAAACAAAAAAACCTTTATTGTGGGCCATACAGACAGAGGGAGTTGTCGGCGGTGTGGTTGGCCTGTGAAGCTTCGTGACGTAGGGAATGCGCAATTTCCACCGCTGGCTTCTGCAGGACATTAAATGGAAGATGAGCAATGCGCTCACCACCTACCGCTCGCCACTATGGCTCACCACCCGCTGCTTTGCGTGTGTGCGTGCGTGCGTGTGTGCGTGCGTGTGTGCGTGTGCGCGCATCGCGCTTGTCGCCTTATCGGTGCCAGGAGACAAGCAGCCGAGCGTGCAGAAGTGGCGCATCCTGTCCACTACGAGCGACCTGGAGCGCGTGAGCTCCGTGGCGCTGCCTCGTCTGCCCATCTCCCTCTCCAGCGCCGACATGAAACTCGCCGGGGACACCAAGTTCTTCCCCGGGCTCGGTAACCAGCGGCGGCACGTCCGGCAAAACCACCACCATCATCATCATCGTCGTAATCTATTAAAACTATTACGCATTTTTCTATTTTACCAGGTAAGGCCCACTACTGAGCTTTTTTAGCTCTTTTTCAGAAGCGACCGGGCTGCCACAAATTATAACTCGACGAAGTGGGCTTATCATCATCGTTGCGTGGACATTTATAGCAGAAGCCAAATACTCCAAACGCGTGGTGACGTTGATTTAAATGTGGAGGGAAACACCGGAGGACCCCAAGACAAATCCACGCCACCACGGGGAGAGAGACCCAAATATACAGCAGGTGTCAGGGTCGGGTTTCAATCCACGACCTCCTGCATACCAGGCGAGGGAGTTAACATCTCGCAACCGTGGCACCCTTAATCGGTGGCACCCCTAAAAATCGGTGGCACAACTGCGATCGACACAAGCACCAGCACACCATCGCAACCTTCTTAACCACCAGCATCGTCATACCCTCTTCCCGATCACCAGCGCAGCTACAATGAACACCAAAGACAAATATCACCCTCATAGCCTTAACAAACTGCTGGGGCACGTGCTGTTAGCGAGCAGCACCTATGAAGGCCGGCACGGCCCCAGTGGCAGTGTTTACACATCGCACCAGGCACTCGGTTGAGTTGGTCGCGAAGGGCGGGAAATCCAGCGCATTACGCTAACCACTGCGCCACCGCTCCCCACAATCCATCACCCTCGCTACCACCAGCACCGCAACCCATCGGCACCACCAGCAACATCTACGGCCCACACGCATCGCCACCGGCACCATCGCCAGCAGTATGCCCTTGTGTGTGTGCGGTGCCTGGTGTGGTACTGGCCACCCCACCCCCCCCATCGTGTGCCGTGCCAGCCTTCGGTAGGCGCTGCTACTCACTGGCGACCAACAGTCTGTCCAAAGGCTGTAACCAGGGTGGGGGGCGGGTACCTCTGTCTGTTGCGCCAGGCCTGGTGCTGGCGTTCTGCGACGGCTCGGTGCACGTGCTGCACCGGCTCACGCTGCAGAAGCTCTGCGCCTTCTCCCCGATGGGGGGCGGCGGCGGCGCGGGTGGCGGCGGGGTCGGCGGGGTCGGGGGAATGTCGAGGGGGGGCCCGGGGGTGGGCGGGGGCGTCGGTGGGGGCTCGGAGGAGCCGCCCATGAAGCGGGGGAAGGGCGCGGGGCCCCACCAGGCGGCGCACTTTTCGGCGGTGGCGCTGTCGCCCTCTTGCTGTGCCCTGCTCGCTGTGGAGAACAGCGGCAAGGTGAGGGGTGGGGGAAGGGGAGGTGGGGCAGCGGGAGAGGAGGGGCTGTAGTATTACCACGCTGACCCTAACCTTAACCCCTGACCTTACCATGACCAGAACCTTAATCCTTAGCTCCTTACTGACCCTAACCCAGACCTGAACCGTGACCTTAAACTTGATCAAGATGCTGGTGCATCTCCTGGTCATCTCAGGCAGCCAGCCCATGGCACCTGGATCTGTCCCGTGACCTCCTGCCAGCGAGCCTCCGACACTTCACGTGGCCTCAAAGCGCACCTGGCCTGGCACGGGTGCCGTGGTGACGTCGCCGTCACTTAGTGGCGAGCGATGGTTGCCGCTGTTGTCTCTTGTCCATCTCTGACCTCTGCGACCCCATGTACCCCCCCCCCTGCCCCCGGCGCGTGTGACTCCCGCGTGCAGGTGAGCGTGTCGCGCGTCTCCCCGTGGCTGGGCCACCCGCTGGAGGCCGGCGCGGCGCTGCGCAACCTCCTCTTCCTGCTGGAGTACGGGCTGGTGACGGGCCACGACGCCTGGGACGTGCTCCTGCACGTCCAGCCGGGCACCGCCGCGCCGCTCGCGGACCGCCTCGCCGAGGAGTACGCGCGGCAGGCGCAACCGCTGCAGCAGGTGGGATGCTGCAGCAGGTGGGATGCTGCAGCAGGTGGGATGCTGCAGCAGGTGGGATGCTGCAGCAGGTGGGATGCTGCAGCAGGTGGGATGCTGCAGCAGGTGGGATGCTGCAGCAGGTGGGATGCTGGCACGGGCGCCCGCGGTGACGTCACCGTCGCTTCGTGGGCGAATGGCGGGTTGTTCCCCACCGGGCTGCTATTGAAAGTCCACACAAATTAAACCGCCGCACGGTGGACGGGCGTTTTCACGGCGTGCCGATTATTGCTTTCTTTCGGCTCACTCGTGCGACGATTCGTTTAGAACTACGTCACTCGTCGTCAGGACAGGATCCAGATGTTGATGTGACAATCGAGGCGCCATGTCGTGGGTTCCGACCGCGACCCCGACGAGCGCTGTGTATTTGCTCGTCTCTCTCTCCCGCTGGTCGCGTGGATTCTTCTCCGGGTCCTCCGGTTTTTTCCCCCCTCCACGTTTAGAATCGACGTCATGGCGCGTTTTAGAGGACTCGCCCGCCACTATACATTTCCACGCGATGATGATGATGATGAGAAGCCGCCCATTTCCTGCGAGCCATCATTTGCGATGGCCAGGTCACATCTGAAAAAGAGCTCGATGATCAACAGCTCAGCAGGGCCTCGCCTGGTAAAAATATATATTTTAATAGTTGATGGTTTGTGTCCGTGTGCAGGCGCTGCAGACGCGCGTGCTGGCGCTGCGCGCCTGGCTCTACCGCCTGTCCCCCGGCACGGCGGTGCGCTCGGCGGACCTGCACACGCGCCTCCTGCTGCACGCCGTGTCCTGCACCCTCAAGTCCCTGCTGCGGCCCACGCTACTGCACACGCCCGACCGCGGGCCCGGCGACAGGCTCGCCGAGATCTGCAGCAAGAACACCGACACCGGTGTGCCCACGCAGTGCCCACGCAGAGAGACAAAGCGTCTCCCCCTCCCCGGATAGCCTCTAACAGACTGTTGGGGCAAGTGCTGTTAGTGAGTAGGCCCGGCACGGCGTACGAAGGGAGGGGGGGGTGGGTGGCCAGCACCACTCCCGCCCAGCCACCTTTGTCTCCCCAGTGGCGATGTTTACACACCGCACCAGAAACTCATTTGAGGCTGAGTCGGCCTAGGGGAGGCCCAGGACTAGTTTAGATAATCGTCACTGGGTATTGGTGGCCGTGAGTGGGAATCGAACTGTGATCTCTGGCGGGTTCGTAGCGCAGCACACTAACCGCTACACTATCACTCCACAGACACAGACACACGTACACACCGTACACACACAGGGGCTGGGAGGGGGCGTGCTACTCTAACATCACTTACCTCAACAGCCTATTAAAGGAAATACCGAGCGGGGGGGATCTTTTGTCTTCGTGCGCGGTGCAGACATCGACAAGGTGATGCTGAACCTGAAGACGGAGGAGTTTGTGCTGGACACGCTGCTGCTGCAGTCGCTGCAGCAGCTGATCCAGTGGGTGGCTGACTTCACCCTCTACCTGCTGGCCAGCCTGCCCAACCAGGTGCCACAGCAGCGGCCACGCACCATTATATCGGGCACTTCTGTACGGGATAGAGCGTTGCTCCCTCGCACGCTCGCACTCCTCAAGGAGGTGCCGCGCCCTGACTCTCCGTGCAGCCCGGTTTTCCTCCCACGTGTAATAAACACTCATCGTTAATTGGCTGAAAACATCTTAATATATAGAGGACTGCAGAGCTGGGGCGGTTGTTGGGGCTCGTTGCCTACGGTTCTTCGGCGATTGCGAGGCACTCGCGCTGCGTATGAAACTAAACATTCAACTCAATCGTCATGTAACCTGCTATGTTTTGGCGTGCCGTGGTGATCCGGTGTGCCGCGATGGTGCGTTGCGTGTGCCGTGACGGTGCGTGTGTCATCACGGTGCTTCGCGTGCCGTGACGGTGCGTGTGTCTTCACGGTGCTTCGTGTGCCGTGGCCAGGGCTCGATCTCGCGGCCCGGCGTGTCCTTCCTGCGGGACGGCCCGGCGCTCGCGATGCTGCGGGAGCTGCTGGTGGTGGTGCGCATCTGGGGCCTCATGAACCACGCCTGCCTCCCCGTGTTCACCGCCACCTCGGACACGCAGGACTCCCTCTCGCTGCTCTTCAAGCTCCTCACCAAGCTCTGGCTCTGCTGTAAGTGCGGAGCACGCGCGAGGGGTATGCGCGTGGTATGCAAACCCATGCATCTATACACGCGAAAAGACGAACACAAAGATCCCCTGTGTAGCCGCCTTTAACACACTGTTGGAGCCAAGTGCCAATTTGTACAAGGGCCGGCCACTGCACACAATTGTCTCCCCGGTGGCGAGACAAAGCTGGGCCGACCTCAGGGGATAGGCCCAGGAACGGTGTAGATTATTCGTCGCGAGTGTTGCCCGCGGGTACGAATGAACAATGAACTATTTTAACAATTTAATTTTACCAGCTAAGGCCCACTGAGCTACATAGCTCTTTTTCAGAACCTATCTCGCGATCACAAATGATGGCTCAAATAAGTGGCTTATCACGTGGAAATGTATAGCAGCAGCCAAATACTCTAAATGTTGTAATGTTGATTCTAAACTTGGAGGGGAAAGACTGGAGAACCCGGAGACAAATCCACATGACCACAGGGAGAGACACGCAAACTCCAAATACACAGCAGCAGGCGTCAGGGTTGGGATCGAATCCACGACCTCCTTTATACCAGGCGAGGTCATCAACATCTCCCGACCACCTGATGATGATGAGAGAGAGAGACACACAAACTCCAAATATACAGCAGCAGGCGTCAGGGTCAGGATCGAACCCACGACCTCCTGTACACCAGGCGAGGTCGTCAACATCTCCTAGCCACCGTGGCGCCCCAACGTATTTGGCTGCTATAAATTTCCACACGATGATTAGTCGCCTCGAGTACCCGGTGAAAAATCTACGCAACCGTACGCTATCCGCTGGGTCCCTGCGCACGCACCGAGCCGGTGACCTCTATAACCCCCCCCCCATCACCCCGCGCGCGTCCGGCAGGCCGGGATGAGGGCCACGGGCTGGAGCCGGACGACGGCCTGCTGGACGAGTGCTGCCTGCTGCCCTCGCACCTCGTGCTGCCCTCCGCCGACTGGCTGCCCTCGCCGGACGGCGTGTCGGGCCGCCTGCCGCTGGGGAAGCCGCCGTCGCGCGTCGCCTTCGGCCGCGGCATCGCCTACGCCGGGCAGCCGGGACCCGTGCCCGTCCACACGCACGTGCTCGCACGGTGAGCGCCGCCGCCGCAGCAGAGGTCGCAAACGGGTTTTGATTCCTTACCCGTACCCGTACCCGGCCGCACCAGGGTCGCAAACGGGTACCCGTACCCGTACCCGGCCGCACCAGGGTCGCAAACGGGTACCCGTACCCGGCCGGGTACGGGTATCTGGTAGGGTACGGGTATCGGGTAGGGTACGGGTATCGGGTACGGGTATCGGGTAGGGTACGGGTATCGGGTAGGGTACGGGTATCGGGTAGGGTACGGGTATCGGGTACGGGTATCGGGTAGGGTACGGGTATTGGGTACCCGGTTGCGACCTCTGCGCCGCCGCCGTGGCCCACTGGAACCCAGCGGCCGTCGCCGGGGTCGCGACGGCATCACGTCGCTGCATTGAGTTGTCGCGCTCACCGGATCCCGTGGCACAAACCAAGCCGGATTCCCCGTGTTCGTGGCGCTACCGGGTCTAATGACGCCTCTTCTGGGCACGGCCGGCGCTCGCCGCGCTGCCGTCGGCTCGTCTGGGGGGGGGCCCGGCGTTGCCGGCGCTCGCCGTACCTCGCCGTACCTCGAGCGAGCGGGCGGCGGCGGCGGCGGCGGCTTTTACATCGTCGGAATTTCCCCGTCTCCTCCCTCAACCTCGCCAGGTCCCCGGGTCACCAGAAGCTGGACAACCTGCGGCGAGTCAACCTGGGCGTGAACCCCACCGAGGACATCAAGGTGTGCACCAGGTGAGTGGCGACGCCGACCCCTCCTCCCTGCCCCCCCCCTCCCACCCTGCAGCCCCCTTGCTGCCCCCTCCCTGCGCCCCGACTCCACCCCCCCCCCCCCCCCCCCCATTTAGTATAGAAAGTAACATTTTTATGTGCAGCATAATTGAGGAACTGTTGTTGTTGCTGCCTTGGTGTGGTCTGGGACTGTTGTTGTTGTTGTCTTTGTGTGGTCGGGACCTGCCTGCTGCCTTGCCTCCAAGCTTGCATTTGGTGTCGACATGTCGGCAAGGAATTCACGTACTTGTGCAATTTGTACTCCGTGCCTTTATTTATATTTAGTCACTTGCTTTACCTTTTCTGTATTTTTCACTCCTGTCCTTGTGTTTGTTGTTGTTGCATCCTCTGTCGTTATAACTTGCTGACCACACGTGCCCCCCGAATGGATATCTGTGAAAAAGAGGTTTGTAGCTCATCGGATTCCTCATCCTCCAGTCGAAAAAAACTAAAACTTTATTTTGTATTTTACTAAGTTAGGCCCACTGTGCTATAATTGCTCTTTTTTTCAGAAGTGACCCTGACTGGCACAAATCATAGCTCCACGTAGTGGCTCATCATCATCGTCACGTGGACATTTATGGCAGCAGTGGCCAAATACGCACAACGTCGATTCTAAACGTGGGGGGGGGGGGGGGGGGGGAAACCGGAGGGACCCTCGGAGAAAAATCCACGCGACCACGGGGAGGAGAGCGGGACGGAGAACCGCACAAACTCCACATCGTCGTGGGTCGGGATCTCGAACCCCTGCGACCATCTCGCACGCCAGGCGACGGGTCGACTAACGTCGCCACCCCTCCTCCCCCGTCACCTCAGGTGCGGATGCATCACCATGCTGCGCTCGCTGAGCAAGGCGCAGGCGGCGGGGCCCTTCAAGTGCTGGGAGCAGCGGTGGGTGCGCAGCTGCCTGTGCGGCGGACTCTGGAGGAGGGTGCCGCCCTTCGTGCCGTGACGAGGAGGGGGGAGGGGGGACGCTGCGGCGTCTCACGGCGACACGGACACTTGGGGGTGGTGGGGAGGTTACTCAGGGTGGGACAGACCCCCCCCCCCCTTGCCCGCCCCCTTGCCCCCCCCCTTGCCTGCCCCTCTACCCTCACCCCCGGTGTTGCCGGCGAGACGTGCATCATCGAGAGTTGACGCCTGCTGTGTATTTGGAGTGTTGCACGTCTCCCCCCCCCCTCCCAACCGTGGTTTGGGGGGGGGGGGAGGATCCTCCGTTTCGTTTTTTCCATTTCCTCCACTTGTTGAGAATCGACGTCGCGTTTGTAGCAGAGTTGCTCGGCTGCGACGTGGATCGAAGAGTGGGCGGAGGGAAGCGGAGTCGAGGGGAGGCGGACAACAAGACATTGCTGGGTGGGGGCTGGGATTTGGCGGGGGTAGCAAAATAGCGAGAGAGGCGTTGGTCCGTGTCGTTCTCTGGGGGTGCCGGTGAGGAGGGGGGGGGGCGGTGGGGGGGGGGCGGTGAGGAGGGGGGGGGGCATCTCTGTGCCGGCGACAAGTGGGGGGTGGGGGGGGGGTGCGGCAGGACCTCCCAGGAGCTGCCGGTCGGCGTCCGAGGGCGGAGGACGCGAGCGAGGTCACGTGACGCTTTGTACAAAGGAAAAATAAACTCGCGTTTTTCACCGTGTTTGTAATCAATAACTTGCCGATGTCCCTGTTTACGTATGTATACTTACTTTGTAGAGCTTTGAAACACTGAAATGACCAAAGAGCGGTCAAATGTTTGCTTGCGTTGAACCCCAATGCTGTTCCTGCTAAATGAGGTGCACTCCTCGGAAGGCCGTGTGGGTGTTTTGGCCGCTACCGGTTACATCGTATGGGATTTTATAGTTACGGGAGGAAACCGGAGAACCCGAACCCACTCACTCTACAGAACAGGGATCATACAAACTATACGCACTGTCACACACTGCAGAACAGGGGGAGATCATACAAACTATACTCACTGTCTCACACTGCAGAACAGGGGGAGATCATACAAACTATACTCACTGTCTCACATTGCAGAACAGGGGGAGATCATACAAACTATACTCGCTGTCTCACACTGCAGAACAGGTGAACAGGCAAACTCCACTCGCTCTGTAGAACAGGGGGAGATCACACAAACTCCACTCGCTCTGTAGAACAGGGGGAGATCACACAAACTCCACTCGCTCTGTAGAACATGGGAGATCACACAAACTCCACTCTGTAGAACAGGGGGAGATCACACAAACTCCACTCGCTCTGAAGAACAGGGGGAGATCACACAAACTCCACTCTGTAGAATAGGGGGAGAACATGAAAACTCCACTCACTCTGCAGAACAGGGGGAGATCATACAAACGATACTCACTGTCACACACTGCAAAACAGGTGAACATACAAACTCCACTCACTCTGCAGAACAGGGGTAGAGCATACAAACTCCACTCGCTCCGCAGGACAGGGGGAGATCACACAAACTCCACTCACACTGTAGAACAGGGGGAGATCATACAAACTCCACTCACACTGTAGAACAGGGGGAGATCACACAAACTCCACTCGCTCCGCAGGACAGGGGGAGATCACACAAACTCCACTCACACTGTAGAACAGGGGGAGATCACACAAACTCCACTCACACTGTAGAACAGGGGAAGATCACACAAACTCCCACTCACTCTGTAGAACAGGGGGAGATCACACAAACTCCACTCACACTGTAGAACAGGGGGAGATCATACAAACTCCACTCAATCACTCTGCAGAACAGGGGGAGATCACACAAACTCCACTCACTCACCCTGCAGAACAGGGGGAGATCATACAAACTCCACTCACTCTGCAGAACAGGGGGAGAACATACAAACTCCACTCTGTAGAACAGGAGATCATACAAACTCCACTCACTCACTCTGTATAGAACAGGGGGAGAACATGAAAACTCCACTCGCTCTCACACACACTGCAGAACAGGGGGAGAAACGCACCAAATCCGCACACAAAGTTGCCCGAGTCAGGAATGGAACCTCCAGGCTCGCTCTTGCTGTAACGGCGCGCGTCCCCACTCCGCCTCCCTGCTGCACGACAAGCTCGCGCGGACACTCGTGACTTCAGAATAACGACGCAGACGTCAAGGAAGGGTCAAAGCTTTAATCCAACCGTGCATCTAACTACTCGAAGGGGGCTTTCATCAGTTCACACATCCATGCCTTAACACAGAAAAAAGAACCACCGTATAGCCTTAAGACTGTTGGGGCAAGTGCCATTAGCAAGCAGCACCTAGGAAGGCCGGCACGGCACACGAGGGGGTGAGTGGCCAGCGAATACGCCCGGCCACCTTTGTCTCCCCAGTAGCGATGTTTACACACTGCACCAGGTACTCATTGGAGGCTGAGTCGACCTAGGGGAAGCCCAGGACCAGTTTCGATAATCCTCACTGGTGTTGGCCGTGAACGGGAATCGAACGCGGGTAGCCGGGTTTGTAGCGCAGCGTGCTAACCGCTAAACTACCGCTCCCCACAGATGCACACGCATGGATTTGTATGCATGTATGTGAATGAGCGAGTGGAGTTTGCGTTTTTTGCACACAGATTGAAAACTAATTTCTTTGGAACCTCTTTTTGTAGTTTTATCCTTCCCCCGCACCTCCGATTCGCGCGGTTGGCTCGGTACGGTGGTGCGAAAGAAGTTCAACATACGTACACAGTCATATGCACGCTCCCACACCCTCGTACCCACACGTACACGCATGCACGCACCAGGAGGCACAGATGCACACACACTCGTACTCACGCACTCACGTGCGTACTCGTGTGTGCCTAACACACGCATGCACGTTCTCATTTGACCCACGCACACGCCCGTACGTAGATGCGCTCGTATACACACTCGTGCGCTCGTATACACACTCGTACGCGCGCGCACACACTGCTACACACACATCCGTGCATGCGCTCTCCTACGCACGCAACCTCAGGCACAACGCCCCCTTCCACACACCTACGTCTACACACACACACGCCACGTAAGCCGTCGCCCCACCCCTCGTCTTCCTTCACCACCACCTCCCTCCTCCCCTCACCGGCCTGGTTAAATTTGCACGCCCAGAGGCTCGGGGCAGCCTCCACCGGTTGCCCGGTTTGTGAGGCTGCTCGTCATAGGCCCAGGCCGAGAGGGGGGCAGGGGGCAGGGGTCAGAGGTCAGGGGCTTGAGAGACTGGCCGGATACACTGGTGGCGTCGTGGCTTCTCAGGAGCGTTTACAAGAACTTGGGGAGGTCCTTCTCGATCACCTGTGTGGAGCGCAACGGGAGAGAGACCAGGGCACGCATCAATGACCGCACACGAACAGAGAGAGAAGAATTGGAATGTATATACACGGCGCTCAAAGCGCCATGCCGTCCGTAAACTATTTAAACTAAAACTTTTATGTTAACAGGTGACTGTTCTGCGAGTTAAAAAATAAGACGTTTATTTTTACCACTAAGTTCTTCCCCGGTTGCAAACGGCTTTTGATTCCTTACCCGTACCCGGCCACACCAGGGTCGCAAACGGGTTTTGATTCCTTACCCGTACCCGTACCCGGCCGCACCAGGGTCGTAAACGGGTACCCGTACCCGTACCCGGCCGGGTACAGGTAGCCGGGTAGGGTACGGGTATCGGGTACCCGATTGCGACCTCTGCTCTGTGGTGGCACGTCCGGTTATCATCATCATCATCTATTAAAACTAAACAATTTTTACACGCTTTCTATTAACTCACACTGTTGTTGTTGTATCCTCAAATCTTGTAACTCAATTTTTACCCACTTCCCAATGTGGTATCGACTGCAAACTTGGTATACTTGTGTCATACTGATGACAATACTATATTCTATCATTAAAAATAATCAATATATTTTTTAAAACATTTTGTATATGTTATGTTTCGGCTTGGGTCTAATTGTCCACGCTCAACTGACGTTGGCTGTAAACCACCACGGCCCCTTACGTTATGGCAAGCTTCGGGGCCACTTCCTGGAGTCGTGGAGTTCTTCCATTACGAGTCCGGTACATTTCATTAAAGCGTATTTTAAAAAAAGTTATTTTTTATATTACTTATTTTACCAGGTAAGGCCGTTATTTTTTCAGAAGTGACCCCGGCCACAAATGACAGCTCAACGCAGTGGCTTGTCATCACGTGGAAATGTTTAGCAGCCAAATCCTCGGAAGCGCGCGTGTTGTACATTCTAAATGTGGAGGGAAAGACCGGAGGAGCCGGACAAAAATCCCACACGGCCACGGGGAGAACATGCAGACTCCAAATGTACAAGCGTCGGGGTTGGGATCGAACCCACGACATCCTGTATACCAGGCGAGGTTGTTAACATTTCGCCACCACGGCATCCCTAGAACAACATCAATGGCTGGATCTTGTCCCGACGATGCGTGACGTAGTTGTAAAGGAATCGTCGCGTGAGTGAGCTGAAGAAAGGAAAATAATTGGCGTTTCGTTAAAACGCTCGTACACCGTGTCACGGTTTCATTTGTTTGGCTGTGTCGGGTGGTGGGGGGGGGGGGTTCTTGACGACACAATTTTTTGGCCAGATCGTTCCGTGGCCTCACTAATTAGGCCCTTTATTTATCTGGGCAGGGCCTCGCTGAGTCTCAACACACATTGGGGCGCCACAGTGAAACGAAGTTAACTACCTCGCCTCCTATACAAGAGGTCGTGGGTTCAATCCCGAACCTGACGCCTGCATATGCGGAGTTTGCATGTTCTCCCCT